ACTTTTACTAACTACCCAATCGCATTAGATGCTAGCTTACTTAATTAGAGACCACACGACAATCATTAGTATATCATTTATAGATAAAACACGAAATTTAAGCAACAGAAAAACTCACATGTCCACCATGGCAGCTACTTCCTCTGGATTCTCAACTGCATGTTCATGCCATGTTTCATTAGACCTGAAATTCATTAATCAAATCATTAGTTAAACCCGAAAAAAAACAATTCAATTTACTAAACCTTGCTTAATCACTACTTACACTACAATCATTGAAATGTTGCATTATCATTCAATACTCTCTAATAACACACCGGTGTTTAAGCAAATGGATCTGTACATAATCAATAGAATATAAAAAGAATTCCTTCCAATTCTAGATCTTTAATACCAAATCCAAATAATCATGATCAAGTAATTCAAATCAAGAAAAAGGGTTCTCTTGTTTGAACATAGATTTGAGAAGTTAATGCTCTATTTCCATGAACCAGATCACATAAAAACATTGATCCAAAACATTTCAATACCTTGTGGAATCGACGCCAGTGAAGAACATTGATAGGAGTAATGCAGAAGCAAAGAGGACAAGTATTTGTGTAATAGCCATTGCTCTTTCTCTGTAATCTGTATTGTGTTGTTCTGTTTCTTTATCTTTGTCTAAGACAGAGGCTTTTGTCGGTCTTTTGTGTTTGAACAAAGAAGAAGAAGAAGGAAGAAGGAAGATGAAAAGACTTAAAGAAAGGCTTCAGGGGAAGAGGTTATTATATAAGAGAATTGAGCGTGACATTTTTCACTAGAATCATATTTAGCCTAATTAATTATTTAGAATAGATCATATAATTTCTTCATTATTTACATAGTTTGAAATAGCCCGATGCTGACATGTTTTTTACTATATAGTTTTTTCGCATTTATAACATCCAATGCTGGAAATGTAGGTGATACGACAAGAGACAAATTATATAAACAGAAGAAAATAGAAGAGAAATTGTACTCACTCGTTTTTTTTCAATAAAAGCGGAAATGCTAAGGAGAATTGATGTTATAATTGAAATCGCTCACATTTTTCATGGTTTGTACGTACTTGCTAAACCATTAATGTATATGTGTCACATAGAATAAAATTTGACATTCACAAAATGTATAATATATATTGTCACAATCCTATAATCAAAGTATAATCATACAGGACAAATAGTTTAGTGGTTTTGCACTTTCATTCTTCTCGGTTCTCACCTTTAAATGATGGGCTAAAATCTTAACAATATGAATTTAAATGTTGGCAGATAGAACTCTAAATCAATTATCACAAATTGTTCGTTTGTTAGATAATTTAAATTCAAATAAAAATCAATGCCATGAACGACATTACTGTTTTGTTTACCCTCGATTTTTACCTAAAAAATCTCCAAATTCATAAAATAAATAATAATTTTCGAAATATCTAATTCGATGAAGATGAACACGCCTCATCAATGCGATTTTGAGTTAAATACCTTGTGATTTTAAATAGATTCCCAAACCATCAACTGAACTAGTGATGTAATTGGTTTAAAGAATATTGATGTAAATTGATTTAAACTTCCGAATGAGATAACAAATTTGGTGATTTCCTAGTTTATAACTTCAGGTTTGTAATCCTCTCAAGCTCCGAGCTCAGAACATTTTATATGATTCCTTTCAAATGTCACTTGAATCAGCAACATCTAGACTTTAACTAAAATATTCTCAGTTAAACTATAGCACTT